TGCATTTACACTGCCAACATTCTTTTGAGGTCAGTTCATCTTTGGACGGGATATTGAAAGTTCCCGCGCCTTTGATGGGTTATAAGATATTTATTGCTTTTTTAACAATTGGAATTTTGATGTCTGTTTTCCAGAAGGACCATGAGCAAGCACTTTGCATTTCCTTGAAATATAATGTATTGAAAATTGTACACTCAGTGATTACTATTATTACAAATATGCTTTAAGCACCCCAGACATGGACATGGTATAAGAATTATAAATCAAATAGCTTTTGGGTGTTGCGAAATGAATAGGAAAGACGACCGGTAAATAAGTTGGTGACATAGCATAATTGGATTTTTTACCCACTGTAACACTTGTTCAAACCTTGGGCAGCATGTTTTATTCCTAACAGAGTCAGTATAGCCACATCTGTGATGAGCTGTTGATTTGGTTTTGTAGGAGAGTATACACTAAGTGTTTGAATCCACTTAGAAAAAAAGTCAATAGTTATTATTGGCCTTGTAGTATTGTCAGCATACTTATGTCTCATTTAGTAACTAAGACACATTTGTCTGCTTGGTAAATATAGTATTACATAGAGGAAGACATCCACCCATAATCAGTGACATTACAGATACACGGGCCTACAAAACATCTCTAATTTGTTTATGCACTGTGCCTGCTTTTACATTACACAGTAAAACAAGGACTTGGCCAAGGGTCCTCTTACCAGACAGGTATAGGCCCAACATTTGAAACTATTCCAACTAATTAAGTTGTTTTGAAATTATGCTAAATCCGTGGGATTCTAATGATATAATAAATAATAATCCCTGATTGAATGCCTGCTGTGGTCACAGATACCCATGCATTTGTCCCACATCTAGAAGTTTTGGAAGACATTGGTCAACAATACATTAACATTAAATTCTGCCAATAACATATTATTAACAATTATTTTGTTTTATTCTGTCCGTCAAATCTAAACAACTATTTAAATCCACATTATTGATTCATATGAATGAACCCCTCCCCTAAAACTACTTGAAAGACATTGCAATATGTTTTATGGATAGAAAATGGAGTCTTCACAATTTCAAAGTCTTCTGGGTGTATTGTAGGGGAGTGTGATCTCAGTTTGAGCTATTCAGTGCTAGTATGCAGTGATTTGTGTGCAGAGGAAGTCTTTGGTAGTTCCGTTGAGTACAATATTTAATGGTCTAGAACTTAAAGGAGCACTATAGGGTAAGGAACACAAACATGTATTCCTGACCCTATAGGGTTAAAACCACCATCTAGCCCCCCTGGCCCCCTCATGCCTCCCTAAAAATAGTAAAACTTATTTGTGATCAAGTCTGCAGATGCATATTTTGTGCCTGTTTATTTTAGACCTGCCCACTGCCTGCTGACATCAGCAGAAGTGTTAGCCCGATCCAATCACAGCGCTTCCCCATAGGATTGGCTGAGACTGACAAAGAGGCAGATCAGGGGCAGAGCCAGCACAATTCAAACACAGTCCTGGCCAATCAGCATCTCCTCATAGAGATGCAATGAAGGATCTCTAACAGCTATCTGAGGAGTGGCCAGTGAAGTTATAACTAGGCTGTAATGTAAACACTGCATTTTCTCTGAAAAGACAGTGTTTACAGCAAAAAGCCTGAAGGTAATGATTCTACTCACCAGAACAAATTCGATAAGCTGTAGTTGTTCTGGTGACTATAGTGTCCCTTTAATCAGAGGTCAGCTGTCCCTATTAGCTATATGTTTGAACATCAAATTAAGTAGGTTCACACCCTTGCATTAGAGTGGCACATTTATTTCATTGAAGTGGCAAAATCCCAGGATTATAAATTGGCTAATTTGGGAGTTCTGGATGTTATTTTTATTGCTCAGTTTTCAGAGTGGCACATTGCTACGTGTATCTATGATTTTTTGCTAGTTAAATTGAATTTGCTTATTCTTGTTATATACAGTCCTTCTCAAGGTAATACATGTGTAGGCTTTCCCCTTCATAAAACAAAGACACAACCACCACAGAAATCATATTTACACGTTTGTCATGACTAGAAAATGCTGATGTGGATTTCTTATGCTGCTACCTCATTCACTATCCAAGAAACTAATACTCTGATGATCTGATAAAGACTGGCCCAATCCTATGCCCGAACCTCCGCATCACCTGTTTGAAAGAACTTAATGACTCTGTTTAAAACCTTCAAATAGAGCCTTATTCGTAAGTCACCTTGCTACACTGGTGTTTTTAAAACTTCTCTATTTATATTAAGTGACTTTTGATTTTGCTTATATTTATGACATATACCGGTAAGTACATCTCCTTTCTGCATACATTATAATTTCAGTGCATATTTTTATTTATACAAACGAATGGCACATTGTGTATCCAACGCTAGGTGTAAAAGCAGCATTTTATTTTTAAAAACAAGACATGTGAATAAAGCATGTTATGGTGTCTAGCAATAACCTGTGTGTGATACAAAAAGAAACAGTGAATACAGCTTTTTACCCATGTTAGTTCAGAGACAATCTCAGAATATATACTGGATTTATTTCCAAAGAGTTGTCTGGCTTTGCTGAGCTGTTAACAGCATGCAGTAGGCTCCCAGTACACCTAATTAAAATACACCAAGACTTTCAACTACATCACTCTGGCCTTCACCATGGATGGATTCATCATTTTATTTTTCTCCATTACGCCTTCCAAAATATCGTCTGTAAGCAGCGTCGAAGCCAAATCTCATTGCATATCGTTCGCAAGGATCGTAGTCCTCACAAGTCTCGCGCTGTCGTTCCCGGGGGCTCTTATTGCGCTCACGGACTCTAGAGAAATCATTAAAGACCTAATTATACTAAATGACTTATTCACAGTACTAGCTATATTATAGATGCAAACAATGAGAAATTTTGACCACAACATCTTTATCCATCTTACCCAATTTAGCAGTTACCTTCTCAACAACCTAACCCTTTCCTATCCCCTAACTCCAAGGCCTTCCAAGATCTTATTTTGCTTCCATGTGCTAGGTAAGGTTGTCCTTAAGTCACCTGCAATTATTCCAACTCTTTTCTCATTGGCAAGTTGATCTTCTCATGTTTTTTAAGAGTCCTTGTTTTGCCAATCCATCCAACACTTTTAGCCTAATCCCATGCTATCAATATTCTTCAAATAAATGATCCACCCATCTCTACTCCTTGCCCATTTTGATTTGATAAGAGGAAGCATATCTAAGGCACTTATAGAAATGTCTCCAGTGTAGTGATGACACAAGAAATTACATTTTGTAGCTCTATGGAAAGTTCTAGAACCAGAAACAGCTAACTATAATAAATAGATATTCCTGAGTCATTAAACTAACTTATCAGTAATCTCTCCTTACCTTTCATTCATGCGTATGTTTCTGTGCTGGGAATTCATAAATGAATTGGCATTCCTTGAGTTTAAAAATGGGTCTGGAAATAAATCAAATTTCTTCAATTAATATAATTACATGTTACTTACTCATCTGCATTTCCTCATACTGAAAGGCACTAACCTGTACTACTTCATCCTGAATTTGCCTGAATTACATTTTATCGAAAGACTTTCCTTATCAGCTTCCAAGAATCCTGATTTGTGGCGTATTGCCTTCATTGAAGAATCTTAACTGCTTCAATTGCTGCATCACTGCATGATCTCGTAAGCAACCTGCATTATATTATTTTGGAATATACCTACTTGTTTCAACCTCTACAACTCTGCATGATCCTGTATTGCTTAATCCTAAAAGGTATTTACCTATAACTAGCTGCATTGCAAAGTATCCTGGAAATCCTTAACTACTTGGTATAACTTCAAGCCTGCTTGTATACAAAAGACTTTATTCATTTACTTATTAAATATCTTGTTTGTGGCATATCGACTAAACCCTGTTTTTCTCAAAGTATCCTGTTTGTGGCAGACTGCTCTTTATTCTTTATTTTCAGTAAATTTTGTTATGTCTAATACGACAAATAAGATTTTAACCAATAACCCTTGCAATCGTCTCCTCTCTGACCTGCTTAGGAGCATGACAATTACTTTGTTAGAAATACAATTTTACAACATTTCCAACAAAGTTATGTAAAGACAATTTCAGATGCTAGAGTCACATTAACCCATTCTCTTGTACAACTCTTCTACTCTACTTCTGCTTTCTCATATTTATGAGGCTGTTATGGAAAGGGTCAAGTAGAACTATTCTGAAATAAGTCCTGCGCTCAAACTCCCACTACTCCTAGGCGGCAGCAATAACCGTAGTACCCATCAGCCCCAATACATGCAATAAAAACCAAAGAAAACAGTTACTTGTGCACTATTCCAAATCCGTATGCATAATCAAATAACTGAAGGTTTTTAGTATCACTCCAATGGCCGTTAGATTGTAAGCTCACCTGCCATGTCAAGGGGCAAACCTCTTATGTGAGTCCTACAATAACAAATCACATTGCTTCCTTGAGCTTCAGGTAAAGAAATCTCAAAAGAGACCCCTCTATTAGAGATATTTTACCTGAAGCTGAAAGTAGCAAGGTGAATTGTTAGTGTAGGACTCACCTAAGAGGTTTGCCCTTGACGTGGCAGGTGAGCTTACAAACTAATGGCCTTTGGAGTGATACTAAAAACCTTTAATTATTTGATTATGCACAGGGATTTGGGATAGTGCACAAGTAACTGTTTTCTTTGGTTTCTATTCTGAAATATGTCTGCTCAGAAATACTTGGTAGCCTCTTTACACATTTGGACCATATGTGTTTTTTTGGCATCGAGAGTGTGATATCATAGTGCTGCATGCTATCCATATGGCCGAGACTTTAAAAGGTTTTTCTTTCTTTTTTTCTTTTTGGTAGACTTGCAGGATTAATTGCTTTTGAGTCACTGCCCTTATATATTGTTATATTATATCATATGCCATTATCTGGCAGAGTTGCCTTATTTGTCCTTTTAAACCTCTTACTTTTTTTACAGTGTATGGTATTTGCTTACCTTCTGCTTGGAACTGGTTGGGTTTACAAGGTAAGATTGTATAGGTATTATTGAATATAAATAAATTATTAATAAATATCATTTTTTTTATTTTTTTACAACTGCAATGTGATTGTAAACTATAAAATGTTAAAGGGACACTATAGTCACCTGAACAACTTTAGCTTAATGAAGCAGTTTTGGTGTATAGAACATGCCCCTGCAGCCTCACTGCTCAATCCTTTGCCATTTAGGAGTTACATCCCTTTGTTTATGAACCCTTGTCACACCTACCTGCATGTGACTTGCACAGCCTTCCATAAACACTTCCTGTAAAGAGAGCCCTATTTAGGCTTTCTTTATTGCAAGTTCTGTTTAATTAAGATTTTCTTATCCCCTGCAATGTTAATAGCTTGCTAGACCCTGCAAGAGCCTCCTGTATGTGATTAAAGTTCAATTTAGAGATTGAGATACAATTATTTAAGGTAAATTACATCTGTTTGAAAGTAAAACCAGTTTTTTTTTCATGCAGGCTCTGTCAATCATAGCCAGGGGAGGTGTGGCTAGGGCGGCATAAACAGAAACAAAGTGATTTAACTCCTAAATGACAGTGAATTGAGCAGTGAAATTGCAGGGGAAGGATCTATACACTAAAACTGCTTTATTTAGTTCAAGTAATTTAGGTGACTATAGTGTTCCTTTAAAGGACCACTATAGTGCCAGGAAAACATACTCGTTTTCCTGGCACTATAGTGCCCTGAGGGTGCCCCCACCCTCAGGGTCCCCCTCCTGCCGGGCTTTAGGGGGAGGAAGGGGTTAAACTTACCTCTTTCTCCAGCGCCAGACGGGGAGCTCTCCTCCTCCTCTCCTCCTCTTCGGCTGAATGCGCATGCACGGCAGGAGCTGCGCGCGCATTCAGCCAGTCCATAGGAAAGCATTTACAGTGAGAAGCGCGTAAGCCCTCTAGCGGCTGTCAATGAGACAGCCACTAAAGACTGGATTAACCCATTTATAAACATAGCAGTTTCTCTGAAACTGCTATGTTTATAGATAAAAAGGTTAAACCTAGCTGGACCTGGCACCCAGACCACTTCCTTAAGCTGAAGTGGTCTGGGTGCCTATAGTGGTCCTTTAAAGCATATAAGTAAAGTAAATTTTTTTTTTTTTGGCAGAAAAATATTTCTTCTAATTCACTTTATATGTATGGGTGTTTGTTTGATCTACTGTATTTGGTTTTAAACTTAGTGTAGAAGACCATTTAACCTTATGTGCTTCCTTCTGTAATGCATATGAAAGCACAGTCACCATGTTAATCAACGTCTGATACTTCCTCCCGTCCTGTCCTCCTGTCCTGATTTTTCTAACATTCATTGATTAAATTACACAGCAGGAAAAGTTGTAAAGTGCTTCTAAGAAGAAAAGCCCATGAGTTATATAGTACCTGCATTTGCACAACAACCACAAATATAGAACAAAAGAAAAAAACAAAAACAAAAAAACACGTAGAAAGAATTATGATTTTTTATTTTATATATATATAATAAAGCACATGATAATAAAAAACATGACAGACTCTGGACAGGTTGTACCCCTTATGGCATGTGCTTTCTTAAATCTGTAAAATCTTTAAATAACAGGTGTAGCAAGTACTCAAATTGTTATGACGTATAATCTATAAATAAACTGATTTCCTCTTACCATATCGTTCAAAGGACTCATGGCTTTCATAGGATTCTAAATAGAAAATAGAAATACTCATTTTAATGCATCAAACCATAAAAGCAATAACTGAGGGAATGTGCTGAGCTATTACACATTATTTCACTAAACAGACATTTAGCTGCATTGGAAAATTATCAAATTCACCTTTTTTATAATTTGTCTACATTGGCCTAAATTGTGAAATTATTTTATTATACACAGGCTGAATCCAACCGCAATGATGATCTTTAATTTAATGTAGGAAGTTGTTAAAGCCCAGATTACTACCCCAGGCCTCCCAACAGTCCTGATTTATGTGGGACAGTCCCTATTTTATAGACCTGTCCCGTTGTCCCAACTTTAACCTCAGTGTATTATTTTTAAAACTTTCCTAATAATTTACTAATTTTGGATAACCTTTTCAAATGATTTTCTTAACATAATAACATATCAAAACATATATGAAATATAAAAAATATATTTAAAATAGATAAATAAATAAATAAATAAATAAAATACTTTTGTATAGATAAAAAAATAAATAAATTAAATACTTTTGTTCCCTAGTGTTCTGCCACGGAACTTTTCCCTAGAGGTGCAAAGTGAGCAGGACCTAGAACGCCAGGCTGATCTGCCCATTCTTTTGATGCCTTTTTGATGGGCAGATCCACCCCCTTTCAGTAGCGCCAGTGACACAACTTGCATCACTGGTCCGCCTCCTTCGCTCCCTCCCAAGGGCATTCTGGTGTATGTCGATGTTCAGAGATATGCCACTCAGTATTTCTCAAAATGTGTATGAACTATGATTTTATTGCAAATACATATTAGTTTTTTTTTTTACTAAACAAACTTTATTACAGAGTTTCAAAAGTTAGGCCAAAATGTCCAAGTATCAAAACATCTTCAAAACAGTTGCACATTTTTATAAACCTTGGCTATTTTGGTCTTCATTTTGTAACTCATGCATCAATTTACTACAATTTACTAAATACATAATTTAAAAGTATCTGTCAGTACAATAGAAGCTACACTTAATGTCACATGTTAGTTCACTGATCTAATCTAAATTTGAGTTTGATCACAAATTAAAAGCAAGCAATTAATTAATTTTACCTCTTCTAAAGTGCAACCGTCACTTTTGTGTCCACTGCCCTTTTGCAAAGAACTCAAATGATACATGTGTATCATCATAAGAATTGTGCTAGATCTGAGGACAGCCTATATAAAACTTAGCCCAGACCATAAAGACCCACTGAAGACAAAATAAGGGGCCAGGGCATCTATTATTAAAAACGGCACAAGCTGGTTTAGTGTTTTACATTATCACAAAAGAGATGAGAGGGCCTAACTGTTAAAACATGCCCTGCTTAACAACCCAGCAAAAACGTCACTCTTTCAAGTGTATACTTCCCAGCATTTGAAACTATGACTGCAAATTTAAAGTCAGCCGCCTAAGGCTCAGAGGCTAGACTGGTAGAAATCATGAAGATACTTGGCCAATCTTGGCTCCATTCACTATACCAAAAGTGAAGAGTCTGCCCCAAAGGAGTAAACTGCCAAGGGCCCTGTAGGATCTTAATTCTTCTCTGCCTGTGACACCAAGTGCAGTCACCTCAATACTTTCTTGATTGGGCCAAATTCCCTGAGTTCCGTTTGTGCAGCCCAGACACACCTATTGTTGTATTTGTGTTGGGCTTATTAGTAAGAATAAAAAAAATGGTACACCAGAAGGTTAACATGGGTCAGCAGAATAGGGGCCCACAATGTTGAGTGTGCCACTGAATGTGAACTGTTGGGAAATGTGAAACAGAGCTGCAACAAATAAAATATTTAGTGTAATGTGGAAGTGCTATGTGTGTGTTACATAGATCTCGTAGTGATTTCCCTAAAATGGCAAGTGAATTATCTCTGCTGTCCTTTAGCAACAAATTCCTCATAGAGACACCCACCAGGATAAATTTCCTTTCTTATTTCCCATGCATTGCCCCATTTCACATTCTAAGGCCTCTCTATCACAATAGCCCTGTGCTTGCAGATAAAACTTTAGATATTATGTCGATGGCTCTATCACATTTTCTGAATTTCTGTCCAAGGCATTCATTATCATATCATCTTTTTAAAAGTAAATAAACACTTTGTTTTGAATTTCCAGACTTCCAAAATCTAGATTTAAGAAATCATGTTTTTTTTTCCTCATTGAAAACTGTGGACTTCATGGAAACGATTGAAACCTGAGGTAGTGAAAATGTGCAGTATCTTCTTATAAGATTTAAAGGGGCTATTATCAATGTCTGTCACAGTAAAATCTAGCAATAATGTGATAAAATAACAATAAATAATTCTCAATTAAAAAAATTGAACATAGTGAATGGCTTTATGAGTCACTCAAGTTTTAAATAACAGCCAACTATGTAGAATTTTTTTTATACATTTGTTAAAGTTGCAGAATATGTCTTTTAGTTCCAAAAGCTGGCGAGTAGTGTCTGCATTTAATAAAAAATAGAAGAATGCAACACAAAAAAAGAAACAATTTAGGAGATTTTTCATTGTAAAATCAAATGTGTTTGCTTTTTACTAAAGGTTTATGATACATATCTGGCAATCTTACTTTCACCAAATGTATTGTTTATTAACAATATTCCTCTCAGTGTATCTGAGTGTTAAACACAGGTTTTTTTTTTTTTTAATAGATTGTTTTTTAAGAGAAGAGCCTAAGATGTTATTTAAGCTTTGGTCCTTTCATGGTATACGCTTATTATAATAACTGACAATTTCATAATATTTATAAAAACTATATGTGAAAAAATGAACTTACAGAAACACATTTAAAAAAAATATATAAACTGACATTTTAGATAATTATAAAAAAAATTGTTTTAGAACTGCCTTTCTGAGGTTATAATTATAACATAGTCTGCATACTTGAAACATACTAGTATATTGTATAAATACGCAGACTATGTTGTCCCCTTACACAAGTAAACATAAGTTTAAAAGAAAAAGGTAAAAAAGGTAACTTTTTTTACTAACAAAAAATATGAAGCATAAAGGTGCTTTATTCGGAATAATAATAATTATTATTTTCCTAAGCTATTAATATAAAATGATTACAATGTAAATTCGTCATACCATAGGCAAGGGCCACCACTGCTGCCAGTGACAGGAACACGAGAATCGGAAGAGACTTCATGCTGTCCTCTTGCTGAGCTGTGTTTGTACGTCTCTCCTTGGTTTTAGAGCAGATGGAAACTTAGCTGGAAAAGAGAGCAGCTCCAATGTATAACAGAGTAGTGTTTAATAGCAATGTCCACGTGTGGGATGGGAGGCAGCTGGAATTTAGAGAGTTATGCGTTGGCAAGGTTTATGCATATCAAACAGGGCAGTGGTGGGAATATAGGTGGGCAATAGCGAGCATAAACGGACATTGGAAAGACAAAAGAAGTAGGTGGAACCTGTTCTCTTGGAAAAAATCCATCATCAGATGTAAAATTTGACTGGAAATTTAATATTGTTTCCAAATTTTTAGAAACATTTGAACACCTGTGGGATGCATTATGGTAATGTTAATGTAATCCACATGTGGATTTTGTTGAATTTTACTTTTAGATAAGAGAGCAATGATGAATAGATGTAGCAAATCAAGATACCACAAATGTCCTTGAAATATATATTTCCCTTGATACTCAGCCAGCCATTGACTCGGGTTCTCAATACTATGAATTTATTTATTCATAAGAGGACAAGCCCCAAAAAATATTAATCAATGTGATTTTCCCATTGAAACATGCTTATGTCACACAACAGTTTTTTCTCTAACAGTTTAGAAAGAATCTAAATAATATTGAAAGAGAAGATGGAGAGCACAGAGCTAAAAGAAACCTGACTGTTAACGGGCACTCTAGACTCGATTTGTCCCATTTAATGCATAACACAACTTTCCTGATTTTGCTGCAATTCTAAACATTTTCAGCATCTGCAGTGAGCTTGTACCAAACCACAAAGTGATTTAACCAATGTAATCCTACCATAGCTTTCTACCATAGTTTTCTTTCTGGCATAGCACAGGTTTCTGGGAGTAGTAATTGTCTTTTGTACAGCAGAAAGCTAACAAATGAAGTACAACTAACAGAAACCTATGAAATCATGGATAATAGTTGTGTAATTTGAGCAAAAGGGAAACACGTCAGGTTGGATAGGTGAACTTATGCAGCAAAACTATTTTTTTTTCCCACAAAAAGATTCATTTAAAAAACTGTCTGTCAAAAACATATCTAACCTACACATTGCACTAATTTTTGTGGGTGCTTAGAGTGCACATTTAAGGGATTACATTAAGATGACAAATTAATTAAAAAAAAATATATATATATATAAATAAGTAAAAAAATAAATAAAACAAAAGGGTGGTGATTTGAAGATGGATGTAGGACATCTCTGAAGTGAGGTAATGAAATGTTACATTATAGTGATATTAGTTCATCAGGATAACTGGTAAGCTAAAATAGTACTGTAATACAAGAATGCTTGGGATGTGGAAAACAATATTCTGACATTCTAAATTCTGAAATTCCAATGCTTAAAAGTCAGAGGACTTATCATCACGGTCTACGTCTGTATATTTATCCCCTTTATCCTCACCTAACACACATATCACGCTCTCAATAAATTCTGATGATACATACAGGTTTATAAGAGAGCCTTTACTATACCAGGCTAGCAAAGTAAACCTTATATTCTGCTTAGAGTTTTCTTTTTCTTTTTTTTCTTCAGTTCTAATTCTTGATATCTCCTACTGCATTCAGACAGAGAATTGGCAAATGTGTTCATGTATAATAGCTCTCTCTAATTACTCACACATGCGAATTAAAAAAACCACTAGAACATGTGCAGTGCCGGTGTAAGCAACATTTCGTGCCCTGAAATAATGTATGCTTCTCTTGCACTAATGTGTTCTTTGATTATGTTAAATAAAGATAACATTCTGCTAATGGCTGCAAGGTCAGTGTCATTCACTATAGGGAAAACATTTGGTTTTATGGGAGAAACACTCAGTTTGCTTCTCTGCTAATGCCTTCTAACTGTTCTTACCCTGTAAGATTAATCATGAGGTAAGTTTTGAAGTAGGTTAGTTTGGAGGGTGGGATAATGGACTATAAAAACTTGGCTGGAGCACCTACCTCCTAATCCTATCAGGTCTTGAAATAGTTTGGTTTTGGAAGATGGGTTAAAGGACCATGCATAAGATTTAGCATGGAGACCACAAAGAACGTCACAATCAAGGCAGCAGTATTAATCATAAGGCAACCCCATAGGGTCCAAGGGTCAGAAAGGGGCCCTCAGAACCATGAATTTGTTTGGCCCCATTTACCATCCCTATGTTAAGAATGAAGGTGGTGCCCCAAACTGGAACCTGCCTATGGGATCCTTCTCTGCTCCCAATACAGTTCTTAAGGTAGCTTAAACATGGAAGCCCATCAGATATTCTAATGTACCAGTTGCTTAACGTGGATACTTGCAAACTACATTTCCTATGAGCCTCTAGGTGCTGACAGAAGAGGGGAAATGTTAAGAACTATATAGTTCTCTCCTACTTGCTATATATTAATCTGGAAATAATAAAAAGTTAAACTTAATTAAAGACAAATAGTATCCCTCTGACTACACTTTCAATGTGTTTTTGTACACAGGATAATATTCCCCATTATTAAATTAATCACATAGACAAGTGGTGGAAGTGAATTCATCCCAACAACATCAGTTTAGTAATATATTTTGATTTTTAAAACAGACCATTTTCTATGAAGATATCGGAATCATCTACTGGGGTTTACAGGCTGTTTCCATGTAGGAAATTGCAGCTGAATTCCATTAGATAGATTGCCTGGGGTAAATTCTTTATATTGTTTGAAGAAAAGTAAAACCTGTCTTTGACTGCTATTTCAGTTTACTCTAACCTAAAAACATTCAGTTCTCAATGAGCAGTTATACATTTTTTTTGCTTTATATAATTACTAAGTTTCTAATATATATCTGTCTCAAAATAATTGTGAGTATTTCTAAGTTTTAAGTGAAGCAATTATTATGGGAATAAGTGGAATGTTCTTGATTCCACTGCACATTGTGCATTTTATCTAAACGTCTACCTATACTCTAAAATGTGAAGAGGATCAAAATGGCTAAACCATACATGAATTGCATGCAATAAAGCATGGTCCTTAATGTCCACGTAAGCCCAAGAAGAAATTGCTAACTTTATATAAAAGGAATACCATGTCATGCTTACCAACTATCTTCACCTCTGGTGAGAAAATCTGGAGATATCTGAACTGAGTTGACATCCCTATTTATTCATTTAGCTCTTCTCCACTCCTCTTTTTGCTTCCACCTCCCATTCCTTAGCTTCATCTCTTTGTCTAAACACATCCTTTCCTCTGGCAGGAAATAACAAACCAATCTCACAAGCATGGACAACACATGGTCTATAACTGGCTGCAGACCAGCAATAGGACTTCTACAGACAGTATAGGGAATGGTAAGCTTGTGGCTGCAGTATGTTTATCTCCTAGAACAGGTACATGTACAAGAGCCAGTGACCACTAGATACAAAGTCTGGATTCTTTTTTCCAAAGTATGATGTTTGCCACCTTAGTTATAAAATTTTAAAGTCATTCTATTCAATTAAAAGCCACTAATGTATTTAAAATCTGAATACAGATGTAGGAATTAACGTGGTTTATTCTGTAAGTTGGTATTTGCAAACTTGGAAACTTCAAAATGAAGTCCAAAATAAAAAAAAGATGCACTGAAAAGTACATATTCATGACAAAATAATAAAGGTAGTAGAAGTAGATCACTCAGCTGCTGTGCTCTCAATTGATTTAAAAGGCTGTATGGAGAGCTCACTTTGAGCACTACGTACAGCTCATCTCAGTCTGTGGCCAATGTTTATGGTTCATACTAACAGAGCGGAGCCCCAGGTATTGATTGATACCTGGGTCTCCCTGGTGTGAGCAGAGATTGAACCATAAAATAAATAATAGGAGTGTTGGTGACACTATCACAACAAAACACACAATATGGTTTTGCTCTGTGTCACCAATAGCCCTGTCACTCCCCAAAGCACCATTAAGAGAATAACAATAACACAAAACCCCCCAAAAAGTTACCCTTCTTTCAAATTTTTTTTATTGTTTTTAAGAAATAATAATAAAAATAACAATAATTATACCTGTTTGGCAACATTTAAACCACCAATAATGTGTAAGCAGTATAATATGTGGACATTGTCATGACAAAGAAAAATCATTTTTAGTATGAAAACGCACCAATAATATAGGTAACAGCATTAAGATCAGAATCAAAGAAAAAAACTGAAAAACTAATAAGAAATAAAAACTGCAGGAAAATTAATACATTTCACATCCATACATTTTTTTTTAAATATAAATAAATGAATGTATATAACATGCAAAGGAATAACCACTGGAAGCAGATGTATAGCAAACCTACTAAATAGTGCGCACTCTGGAACATCGAAAAATAGTGGAACATACAAATGGATAGGAAATGGAATGA